AAGAGGACATTTCCCCTTCCTATGCGTCTCCACCGTCAAATCCACTTTTCCTTCCCATCCTTCCCTCCTAAGAAAAGGGTGGAAAGAGAAAGGGACTGAAACTAGGCATCTAGCACCACACTCATCAGAGTACGCGGAATTGCTTCCACTTCACGCCTGTTTTTATGATCGTGGTATTGGTGGGGGCGAGCTGACACATTCGTGTGAAGAAGTTAAAGCGGGCTCTACCACTGTTCTTTAAACACAATATTCAGAGTTTAAAAAGACAACAATATTGTTTAAAATCGTGTTACGATTATACGAAAGATTCTTATATCTACATTTTTCCATTAAAAATATGTGTGTGGGCAAAATTAACTGGTAATTGAACTGACATTGTAAAATTAACTTTCACACATCAATTTTATTGGATAAAGTTAAGAATGTGTATTAGATGAAGTTTGAAAGTGCCAGTGGTGGAGAAATTGAGAAGCAGAAGCGTGGATATGTTATGCGACGAAACGATGGGGACATAAACCAGAAAATGTCAACAAATGTGGATGGCTACAAAGGTAGAGGAAGACCGAAGAAAGTATGGATTGTGTGAAAGAGGATATGCTTAAGAAAGGAGTGGATTCAGATATGACTAATAGAGATGTATGGAAAAGCAGCATATCTGCCGACCCTCAATAGGGATAAGGGCAAGTTGATGACATCTATTTTAAATTGATATTTAAAAAATCCTATACATGTGAGTGGTAGAGCCCGCTTTAACATCTTCACACGAATGTGCCGACTTGCCCACAATAATACCACGACCACACAAAACAGGCGTGAAGTGGAAGTAATTCCGCGTACAGTCTGATGAGTGTGGTACCGGAAGCCTAATTTTAGTCCCTTTCCGTTTCCACTCTTTTCTTAAGAGGAAAGGATGGGAAGGAAAAGTGGATTTGACGTTGGAGATGCATATAAAGGGGAAATGTGCTCTTTATGTGCGTCTCCTCCTCCAGCGGATAAGGGTAGGCAACGCATCGGCAATTGCGGATGTCTATGGGCAGTGGCTTCGCCATTTCGGCGGATTCAGGTGGCCACTTGCTCGTTTACCATCTTATATTATAAAAAAATGTAGAGATATTTTAACGATTGTAGCTAATAATCATTATATTACAAACTTTGGGGTTAATTTTTATTATATAAGAAACAATAAAAATGACATTTTTACCTGATTTAAGGGTACATCATGGCCCACCATACAACGCAGGCAGTAAATCAACGCTGAGAGAGTTATCGCTCGAGGTGCGTTTAAATTCCCCCACACTTCTACACCAGTACCACTGAAATTTCAATAAAAACGCATTAATAAAAGTACAATCACGGATATCCGCAGTGTTCCACTTCAGGAAATACCACCTTGTTGAAAAAAATTTTTTGTTAAAAAAAATTGAAAGTACAATCGCGGAATTCCGCCGTGGTCCAACTTAGGAAATACTAAGTTCTTTGCAACGAAACTCCGCCTCTAAAAATAAACTTTATATAACTAACCGACTTTTCGTACAAATAAATTTATTTATTTATTCAATCATTCGTTCATTTATTTATTTATTTATAAACTACGTTGTCATTTTTTCCGCGCCTCTTTGCAATATGTTCAAAAGATTGTAGCTTTTAAAGAACAGAGACAGTTTTTCCGACTGTTCACTGTAATCTAGTTTAAGCGTTATATCATTGACGCGGATTAACCAATAGGAAGCTTTTAAATGGCTACGAAATATAAGTCAGTGGTACACGGTTTTATTATTATTATCCGATTTACGCATTTCACAACTTATTTGTAGAAAAGATTGATGTATGTCTTGTAAGAAAATCATACTTTATATTCATACTAATATTATAAATGCGAAAGTTTAGATGGATGGACGTTTGTTAGAGTTTGTAGCCTAAACGGTTGAACATATTTCATTGAAATTTGGTAAAGATGTACAGGATAGTCTGGAATAACACATAGGCTACTTACTTTTGTTTTTTTATTACACGCGGACGAAGTCGCGGGCGAAAGCTAGTCATAATAATAAATGCTCTTTATATGAAAGTTTGCCAACATATCTACAAAAGAGCTTATCAAATCTCGAAATTACGCAGATATAACAAAATCTTTTTTTATTACACGCGGAGGGAATCGTGGGCGATACTAGTAGACTATATTTTGTAAGTATAACACCACGAATTTCCGTGACTGTACTTATACAAGAATAAATTGGTATCGAATGTTACATTTGTATAAATTCGGTTGATTATGTTTGTTGGTTTATACACGAATAAAACACGAAATTAAAAAAAAAAACACAAAGAAACTAGAAATTTCTAGTAATACTTACGTAAAATCACAAAGAGCACTGCCTTTATCTTTATCTAGGGTAACAGTTAGTACTATAGGCGTGCCATTGTCCATGTATTCAGTAGAACGTAGTACTGCCGACCCTGTTTTGTCGATAGCGTTCTTTGCTATATCCTATCAATGTAGAAAAAAAATTCAAACAACATAAAGGAACTTATAAAAAAACTTAGGCCAGGGGTGGCAAATCACTGGCTATAAAACTCACGATATATATATTTTGGCATATCGAAAGTCATAAAAACATTAAAAAAATAGGTAGTAGGTACATGGAAATGACGTAAAAATCGCAGTCAAAATTATTCGATCGCACAACTAAAACTGCATTAAACATTTCTTTAAAAAATGTCACTTTAATGCATAAATGTTTTTCACCCCTGACTTAGGATATATAACATTTTTTTTTAAATACTTCGATCGCATCAAATTCTTGTAAATTGTCTGATAATCTAAAGTGTAAAATGTGATAACAATATTGGATTTTGTTCTCTTATCTGACATTAAGCTATCTGAACCTCTATCAGCCAGTAATGGGACAGGCCTTTAATTTAACGTTGTCTCTTTCTAGCAAGAAACACAATGATATTGACTAAATACAATAATTTGAATTCTTCCTTTTTGTTATTGCTTAAAACCTAACAACATCTATACTCTATACTATTATAATAAAGCGTAAACACACACTTCTTTGTTGCCTAAGATGTCAGCAATCACAGCATATTTTTAAAT